CACTAAATACACAGTCATTATTTCTAGGAGAAAAGAATAACAAGCTTGTTATTGCAGCAACTAGAAGGAAAAGACAACTTTGATCGCTACGTTTTGTTCCTGATTTTTACGCAGTTGTCCTCAAGGCCAGCATTAGGAGCTGGGAGGCCGGGCTCCTGTCCTGTCTCCTGACTTTGTGCTTCAATCTTCTGACCACTTGAGACACAACTATGAGAGTTTATGCGACTGCTAAAGCTTAAGTTCTACTTCTATTAAATTCATTCACTCAGTAGACGTCTATCCATCTACAGATGTGAGTATGCACCTATATACACATACGTATGGATGCACGTTGTGTATGTGGATGTTCACACACACACATGCACACACGCACACACACACACACACACCCACACGCGCGCGCGCGCTACGCTCTCCACAAGTCTTTCTTGTAATTGATCTATAACTTTCAATATTAGGTCAAAGTGGCTTAACGCACTTTCTTTGCCTCGATTTCTCTTTTAGTCACGACCACATAAAATCATCAGGGTGACTCACAGCGACTTAACCGACCAGGGATGCAGAAGCAGAGCTCCATGTGACGTCTACTGGCGCCACATTCTTACATCTCTGGGCTCTGTGCTGAAAAGTCCCCGTGGTCTGTGCCCCCACACCCATGGGGTCCATAGAGCACTTACACCTTCCTCTTGTCTACCACGCCGAGCCTCACACAGGCTGCTAAGGCATTTTTCTGCATGTCAGACGACAGCACATCATAACACTGGGAGGCACCTGAGACGGGGAGAGCGGAGTCAGTGGCCACCCTTGTTCTCAGTGGAAAGAAAGCAGCACCCGCAGGGTTGTGACCGACCTTGATCAAGAAGCTGACTTGTGAATTTCCTGACTGCAGCCAAGTACTGCTTCTCAGTGAAGGAGTCCTCTTCTTCTCTCAAGAGGTATTTGCAAATGATCTGATTTTAAAACGGAGAATGAGAAGAGGAAAAGGGCGGCCAAATACAAGAGAACATTAGATAACTTCATGCTGCCCTCTCGAGAGAATGACACATCACAGCAGAACACAGTAAAGACCCTCCAAGGCTTGCGTAAAGAAAAGCGGAAGAATTTTCAGAACATCTCTTTTGAGGTTATGTTACTTTTTG